CAATTCCCCTCCCTCCATCCATCCTCCCTCCACCCCTCCTCTCCCTCTCCTCTTTCCCCTTCTTGTTGGGCTATAGTTGGATTATAGCTTTCATCAAAGCTATAAATTGGTTTCATAGTTGGGCTGAGTATGCCCTCAGAATGGGAGAAGATATTTGCAGGTAATGTCTTTGACAAAGGTTTAATAACTAGAACTCACAGAGAACTCAAACATACTAGCAAAAAGAACAAGTGACCCCATCTCAGGGTGGTCAAGGGACTTGAAGAGAAACATTTTTGAAGAAGACAGGCACACGGCCTACAGACACATGAAAAAATGCTCATCGTCCTTAATTATCAGAGAAATGCAAATCAAAGCCACTTTGAGATATCATCTAATCCCAGTAAGATTAGCCCACATCACAAAATCCCAAAACCATACATGTTGGCATGGATGTGGAGAAAAGGGAACACTTCTGCACTGTTGGTGGGAATGCAAACTAATACATTCCTTTTGGAAAGATGTTAGGAGATCACTTAGGGATCTAAAAATAGACCTGACATTTGATCCTTCAATGCCTCTACTAGGTATGTATTTGGAATACCAAAAATCACTTTATAACAAAGATATTTGCTCCAGAATGTTTATTGAAGCCCAACTCATAATTGCTAAGTCATGGAAGAAGCCCAAGTGCCCATCAACCCAGGAATGAATTAATAAATTGTGGTATATGTACACCATGGAATACTGTGCAGCCTTAAAAAAGGTGTCTTATTATTTCTAGACTAACCTGCAGGTACACGTTCAGACACTCTCCTTCTCCTCAACCCCAAATATACACTGTATACATAGCTCACTGATGAAGTTCATGCACCCTATGTAATTACTGCTCTGTAGCCTGCATTTCACATCTTATTTAAACTTCTTGAGAGTTGGTATCAAGTATCACTAGTTTTCATGGGGCAACAGGCAACCACATGGAAGGAGTCTTTCAATTTGAACCTCCCTTCCAGACCTCAAGAAAACTGACACGAAAAATGAAAAATGAGGAAAGAAGTTTTACAAGTGATCTAAGGCAATGTTAGTCACCATGTACAGTGTTAACATGAACCACAGTGCTATTTTGCAAAATGAGATACCTCATTTCAACCATTAGTGTAATTTTAACCTTGTATACTGTAGATACTAGATAAGTTTCTTCACTTCAGAATCCCGGTTTTAAAAATCACCCGCAATTAAAGTTAATAAGAACAAACATGAAACTGCAGAAAACTTATCCTAATCTCTTCTCATAATTTTAAGGTATTTCCAAACCTCACTGAAGATTCTAAAGCATTTTCCTAAACAAATACACATTCCCCCCAAATTAAGAGGCAAATTAATTAAGAATGCCATTGTTGGCTCGGCGCCTATAGCTCAACCAGCTAAGGTGCCAGCCATGTACACCTAAGGTGGTGGGTTCGAATCCCCAGCTCGGACCCGCCAAACAACAATGACGGCTGCAACCAAAAAATAGCCGCGCGTTGTGGTAGGTGCCTGTGGTCCCAGCTACTTGGGAGGTGGAGGCAGGAGACTCGCTTGAGCCCAGGAGTTGGAGGTTGCTGTGAGCTGTAATGCCATGGCACTCTACCCAGGGGGACAGCTTGAGGCTCTGTCTCAAAAAAAAAAAGAATGCCATTGTTAAATATGATTATGAGAAATTGTCAATAATTAATTAACATTAATAATGTTAATTGTCAATAATATTGAAAAAGATGAGCTTTTAATCAAATTTGTCCTCTGTGTCTCTCATACTCTCTATGAGAGAGATGATTTGAGTCTCATGTTCATACTAGTTATCTATATGGAAATATTTCTAGGTTAAAGAATATTAATCCATTAAGCTTGCACTACTGAAAATATCTCCTTTATGTAATTCCATGTTTATGAAACATTCTGTAGAAATCTACCTAAAAGTACACCAAACTTTTACTAGATTAACATTTCTGTTCTTATGAGGAGTAAAATAAAAAAAACCTAATATTTACTCAGCATGTATTATATTCCAGAGAGGGTGCACTTTTTCTACTATACAGTAGAGTCTCAATAGTCGATCACCTCCCTACATTGACCACCCCCTTTAGTTGACTTACTTTTCACAGACTAGGTATGCACCACATGCAGCATAGTAGGTCTAGTTCCTTATATTGACCACCTCCCTGTGTTGACCCTGGGTGGTCAACTTACAGTGGTTCTACTGTATAACTTATGTAATTCTCACCAGTCCTGAATAAGTATTATATTTATTTAACAAATGGGAAAATTAAATTTAGAGAGATGAAATTCTGTCTCCAAAGTTACCCAGCTATTAAATGGTAAGGCTGAGAATTAAATTCCATTCTTTGAAGTTAAAAACCCCATGCTCTTTCTATTCCATCTACAAATTGGTTAAGTACCATTTTGGTCTATAAATCAATTTCTGACATCCTTGCTTAATGTAAACCACTATTGCAGAACTTACTTGTCCTATGCAGGACTGATATAATAAAAAGTCTAACTTGTTCAAGCTGTTCAGACTAGACACCATGTCTTCTAGTGGAAAATTCCAACAGCCAGGCTTCTAGCATCTCAGGCAAAACGTCAAATATCTGCTTGCTCATTTGACCTAACTCTAGACAGAATCAATTTAGGTCGTTTGTCACTAATTAATATGTGCTGAAACAATGTTCTAAACATTCAGGGTTTATAACCTTTTCATTCTGCATATCTCAGGGATACCAGAGTACAGTCACCTCTTGATTAAGTTGGATGAACAAGTTAACCTTTGAGCTACAATTTAGCACATAAAAAAGGGTGATATTGATAAGTAATGGAGCCAGAAAGAAAAGAGATATTTTTTAAAAATCCCCAAAGAACAAATGGATATGAAAGCACTTAAACATCTCTTGTACTAAGAGTAGAATTTTCAGGACATAAGCAGCCTTAATAAATGAGTAGCCATTAAATGAAAACTTGAAGACGGCACAATCTTAAGAAACGCTTTTGCCTGATCTCTTGCCCCTGATTGCTCAAATGGCTGCTATTTGCACTTAAGAGCATAGTAGCCCTGGCCCATTCATTCACGCTTTCCTGGAATACATTCAAGATGGCCAGAAAAGCACTTATTAGATGGAAAGAGCACTGAAAATTAGGGGAATCTGGACCTGCAGGAGTAGGAGCTCCCCAAAATTGTTGAGCAGTTAAGAAGACAGAGTCAGAGAACAAGGATAAGGCAACTGTACTCATGTTCTTTGGGATAGAAATTAAGGGCCAAAAAGTAAATGGGGAAATAAATTTTTAAGAATAGATATTAGGGCCTGTGTATAAGGACTGCTTTCAATAAAAGATGAAAACAAATCAATGCTTTATGGACTAATTGGCATTTTAGAAGCTGGCATCACTTTGATCATTAGTGAAACCACTGCAGAGCTGAGCTTCTAAGCAACTCTTAGAAGCTCCTTTTCTTGTATTTTTCCTGGTGTTTGAAGTCAGAACCTATTTACCTAAGGTAATATGCAGCGGTCTAGATTACTGGTCATGTTTAATCTGAGATGTAGTTGTTTTGTAAAGGATTAACAAACTACAAAAAATCATATTTTTGAGAGATTTCATTAACAGATACATTTTAATGCTTATCTACAGTAGTAGCAGGCATAGAAGCTAAAGTGAAAAATTTCCTAAATTTGCTGAAAATTATCAACCATGTTGAGTTCAGATAAACATTACCATGTTTTTAAGCTGGAATGAGAACAGAACTGAGGTATGAGCTAGATTTTTACTTTCAAACATCAGCCTAAAACAGTTAATAGGCTAGTCAGTCCTGAAGTAAACGCCTTATTCCTAGTACACATGTCCCTGCCATTCCTTTGATCCTTACCAAGCGCTCTTTTTCTCCACATATTTGTATAATCATTACACTGCTGATCATCTGCTGAATCCCCCTTGCCCATGAATATGACCATGGTTGGGGGTCACCACAACATGAGGAACTGTATTAAAGGGTCGCGGCATTAGGAAGGTTGAGAACCATTGCTCTAGCTGCTTAGAATTTCTGGAGATAGGAACTTCATAGCATTGACTGACAGCTCCATAAACTTATCTCATTAACTTCAACTCAGAGAAGATATGTTTCTAATCTTTCAAAATCACATCATTGCTATTCTCTCTTTTGAATCTTCTGGCTTTTTAATTTCTATAAATTCTTTTTCCTGAGCTCGTGAACATTATAAAAAAGTCTCTTTAATGTTGAAAATACCATTCCTGCCTCTTCTAACTACTAGGGGTACTGTTTCCCTGTATTTATTTCATTATCAAAATTTCTCAGTAAATGCCATGTTATGTTATTTATATAAAATCCAGACAAAAGGAATCAATAATGACAGGAACTGAAACACTGGGGGCCTATGGATAAGGGATGGGAGAGGCTGCCTGGAAAGGGATCCAAGGGACCTGGTTGGTTCTATGAAGAGGTTTAAACCATTGGCTGGGTTGTTGGTTACACTGTTGGAAACATTTGTCAAAACTTGTCAAACACTACAATTAAGGTTGTTATGCAAATAATATCTAAAAATTTATATTTTTTGGATAGGAAGTAGGATTTATTGACAGGTGGGATTGAGGGGGCAGCACAGTGGAAGCCTCATGCATACAGGGCCCACTACTTGTCTAGGAGGTCATGACTGGGGACATATCTGACTCCACAGCCATCTGGTAGGGGCCACTTCTCAGCTCTTATGTCTTCAAATTCATCTGTATTAAACTTGGTAAAGCCCCATTTCTTTGAGATGTGAGTCTTCTGGCATCTAGGGAACTTGAACTTGGCCCTGTGTTGGGCCTCCATTACATGTCCTTATTCTGCCATTTAGTGTGGACGGACATGATGATTTGGCCAATGTGAATCCTGGCCACAATGCCCTGTGACTTTCCAAAGGCACCACACATTCCTGCCTGGAGCCTAGATTGCGGATAGCACAAAGCCTGGCCCATGAACGTATATCAGAAAGGACTGTTTCCAAGATCCCTAGAGCAACCTGTGAAAGCAACAGGTTGCAAACACTACCCAGGAGGCTGTGGTTTAGTCATTGCACACCAGGCTCCCAGCAGGAAAGGAGCACCATCAGCTTTACTGGCCTCAGGTAAAAGTGCATTGTGGTATTTTCTCCAAGCTGCTTTTTCATACTTTCATCTCTTGGCAACTATTTCCACCATATCATTATTGTGGCTAGTTTTGTAAAAACAGTCGGAATCTTTATATTAAAAATGCCATTAATCAGCGAATGCAGTCACATTTTATGGGAAGGATTACTCTTAACAAGACATTATTTTTCTTTCTTTTGGATGATAAAATATAGTTTCTTATAAAGTAGAATATATATTACTCTAGCCCAAGGTCATCCAATGCAATAAAAAGTTATACTTTGTCCTAGTGTACTTACAGTTATAAAAAAGCAAATATAACAGAGAAACCAGGCTCCTTACCTGAAGACATTTATAATCTATTAGCGAATTGAGATTTCCCTGCTGTGGCGAAAAGTCACCTCTACAACTTTGTTAAATGGAAAACATTTTTTTCTAAAATCTTCAATTTTCCCCATAACTAAAAGCTGAACTTTAAATTCTCCTTGAGGACTAGAATTTTATACGATTATTAACCTATTAATATTTTCAATTATTGATCCATTCTATTCCATTTCATGGAGTCAAACATTTTTTGAAGTTGAGGCTTTCAGTAAAAGTTTGGATGAAGAAAAAGGAATATGACTACTATTATCTATTAATAATATAGTTAGACAAGAAAAAATGTATTCAACAATCTAAGTCATGATTGTTCCGTGCACTCCTTAGCCCTGACACGGAGGTTGACAGATTGGTTCTTTGGGAGCAGCAAATATTCCACAGGCATTAAATTTGACAAAACAAGTTGCATTTTTTGTTAGTTTATTTATTTGTTATTGTGTTAAGACATTTATATTCTGCATTTAGAAAGATTCACATGTACCCTTGTAAGATGGACCATAGGTGTGGTTGTTAGTTTATTTTACTATTTCTTATAGTAAACAAATTATCTCTGCATAATAAACACCTCCCTTATAAAAGATGTGCATTTTATAAATTGTCAATCACCCATGTAAAATACTTTGCAGTCCCTGGGAAATTGTATTCTTCCTAGAGACCAAGGGACTTCAGGGAAAATAGTGACAAAACAAAGTCTCCCAAATTTCCAAGTAGCTTTATTACATCTCTGAATCCATTGCCTCCGTGTCCCATAGTTAAACTTTATAACACAGTCACTGTTAGAAATGTCGAGGACCTCTGTGTTGTCACCACATGTTAACACAAGATTTTCTAACAACCTGTCAAGAGAATTAGTCTAGCACTGCGATGCAGGTGGGTCCCACCGAATAATTCTGTTTTTCTCAAAACTCGTCAAGTTCCCAATTCTTGTATTTAAATCTCAAATCAAAAACTTAACAAGAAAGTTCTACTTGTCATCAAAATGCCTTAAGAAAGTATGTTGAGTTGTTCAGAATGGAATTTCTGTTTCTAAATGTATGCGACTGAAAGGTAGCTATAATTTTAACTTCTTAGCATATAGACTAAAGTTTACCGGACACTGAAATTGACAAATTAGGAAATAACTTTGTGGAGATAAAAATTCCATCAGAGCAGGCAGTAAAACGTATGCAAGCGAGCCAACACGAGAGAGAACGCTGCCCTCCTGGCTGCCGCCTGAGATAGTGTTGTGCTGATGCAGGAGAAATAGGACTGAGGGAGGTGAAATATTACTGAAATTCCAATACTGGGATGCTCCTTTGGGGTATACGTTTTTAAATCAAAATTATTAAGTGCATATTGATTTGTGTCCCTTTTCCTGATTGAAGTATGGTTTTGTGAACGGTATGCAGGAAAACGAGGTTAAATTGCATTATATTTGTTATGTAGTATGTCAGTTATGGAGTAGCTTTTAAAAATAATATGCAAGATACAGATTTAGGACGGTCATGCTGACATTTTATTTTTCCGTGTACATATGGATGTGATCTCTCTCAAGTTAAATTTAGAGAGTGCTCAGCTAATATTCTGTATGTCTTGGAAAACTGCCTGGATAGGAAGACTGTGAGAAACGGATGAAAAGGTTACCAGGCCAACCTCCGTAGTAGTTTTTGAACTGCATGTCGCTATGCAGTGCAAGCTGTGTGCGGTCATCTTTTATGTTCAGCCACCTAGACTTTACCAAGGCTTTGGCACGTCTCTCAACCGTTTGAGGGTGTTGTAAAAGTAATATTGAGTTTGAAACCTCAACATAGGCATTTTGTGAACTTTATGGTCTGCGATTTACTTTGCCGTGGGCAACGAACACTTGAAAAAGATTGTCCCCCTTCGTACTACGTAACTCATATTCCCTGGTTAACAGTGTAATTATTTTTAAAGATATTTTATTGTATACTGTCAAATGTGAGTCCTTTGATAGATAGTACGCTTCAATGGTAAACCTGACCATCGTATTTGAAAAAGAGTATAAAGGCGTTTGCTGAAACTGGGAGGCCACACTTTTTATATTTACACACGCATATTATTTCTTCATAAAATGAAATGTTATATGTAATACATAATCCCGGGTTGTTTGAAGGACATGGTAGTCTCACCCTCCTCAGTAGTTGTTCTTTTTCTCTCTTCTATTCTCTCTTTCAGCAAATCCACATGCTGCCTTGTCAGAGGGCACAAAAGCCATGGAAACACAGTGTAGGGATATCATTTCTACTGATTTTAATATTGGTCCAGATAATAAGGATTCATTCAACAGCTGTTGACTGAAATGTATTCACTAACTGAGTAAATGCTATTTTAGTTTGGTTACTCACTTCTAATTTTTTAAAATAGGCTTTTGATAAACAGGCTACTTTATATTCATTTGCTTCTAGAAATATTTGACATAAGTATTTACCCTTGGTATAAAATGTCCATATATGAAATTGGGGGGGGGTTTACTCTATTTTCCCAGGATTATAAAAATTCTCAAGTAATTGCACTTCCTTCTAGAAAAATTAAAATGTTATCATGTGTGACTGCTTATGTAATCAATTTGTAACGGAGTTGGATTTGACCTGTGTCTGTATGCATGGGCGAGCTGGTTTGCACCATTAACACACACTGTTCCCCAGAGACTGCACTAGTGGTTGGCACCTAGTAGGTGTTCAATGCTTATTTTCTTGGTTAAGGAAATTTATCTCCATCCCTAGTTATCCTATGTCAAATAGGAGGTGATATTACATGGAAGAGAAAACAATGGACTTGGAGTTAGAAAAAATGGCCTAGTTCTTCCTCTGTTCCACTTAGAGTAAGCTCTTCACTGATTCCCTACTGTGCATCTCTATTTCTCCCTGTTTACTGCCACCAACAGCCGCCTGTCCTTCAAGTTCCAGGTAAAGCCCCACTTCTTTGTATAATTCTTGTTAATCCTCGATCAACTCTGATCTCTAATCTTCCAGAACACTTACCAAGCTTATTCACTGATACTTAGTTTTATTTAATCAGACCTTTAACTATATAATGACTAATACTACTCCTATAATTCTGAACAATACTGAACATGTTATGTCTCTCTTTTCTTCCTCCAATCAGACTCTAACTGAGAGAGCTCACATTGTAGCTGGGGGCTGAATTTGTCCCATCTGTGTGTTTTGTTTGACAAAATTTCAAGATTTAGTTAGTTGTAGATACTCAAGTGAGAGTGAATGAATACAAACAGAATTTTCTAGTTTCTTTTGGAAAAACACGGAATTCGTTCACTTGGGGCCTGCATTCTTATTTGGCAGTAATCAAGCAGAGCTGAATAGCTACTGTCCATGTAGCCAGGGCTCTAAGCACATACTCCTATCAACTCCCCCAGCGTGCTTTATTTATTTATGTTCTTTGTCTGGAATCTATGAAACATGTGAGATTCTAACCCCTGCATGATACTCTATGCTAATTCCTCCACCTCGACACTCTCTCTCTTTCTCCCCAAATTTACTTGTAGTTTCTAAAAAGATTTGAGGTCTCCATCTCTATATCTCTTAGGCAGCTTAAATTTATATTTAAGATGTTTGGATTTTAAATTAGCTATCTGAATTGTCATTTATCCTCCTGTTTCCTGTAGATAAATAAGTGGAATTCAATGAAACGGAATGCTGAAACTATCCCTCCTTGAATTCTATCTTCACTAATGATGTATTGGGCAATTAAAAATTGAAAAGCCATTTGACTTCTCTTTCTGCATCTCTGTATCCGACTATTTCCAAGGTCTGACAAATTTACTGGCAAAGTAGAACTGGGATGGGGGCAGGGTGTATTCATTTCCTTCTCTCAGTTTCTATTGCCTCTGCCCTCAGAATCTGCATTTGACGAAAGTGTGTTCCTCTAGGACACTCCTTCAAAATGAGCAGTCCTACCAGGAGACCATTTTGCTTTGAGGCCAGATTTCAAAAAACAGAGACAATTTACAGTCAATAGTGAAAGAGTTGTTTTAGAGCCGAAATTCACTTTCACTGCAAAATCGCACTTTGAAACATTTACAGTGATCTAAGAGACAACTGGTGAAACGTTTTGGCACCAGCAAGTCTGGCACCCAGCCCTCAAGACAAGCAGCATTTCAACCTGTATCCTACTTGACTTTCTCTATTACCAGCGCTGCATGTGAGAGAAACAGGAAATCTGGGCAGCACTTTTAAAGCAATGTGGTGAATTATAAATTAATGAGGGTTTAATATGGGAAGGGAATAACATCTGCAGAACAGCGGATTTCATAACGACGAAAGGGAAAAAAGGTTTCCCTTAATAAAACATAACCTTTCTGCATGCTCAATCAATTCTCAATTAGTCAGACCAGAGAGAGCACCCGCCACACGCTGTCAAAACTGCCTGGCTTTGACGGCTTCCTTCCCCCCACCCGATTCTGATTTTGCTTCCTGTCACCCAAGATGCTTCTTGAATTAATGTTTCTAACAAATTTTTTTCTGTCCTTTTCTGCCATTAAAAAGTACAATTTATGTTTTCCGCCCGTAGAGCTCCTACGGTGTGGCAAAACTTTCTCTTCCACTGTTTGCTGTCCCTTCTCTGGCCAATCTAACAACAAGTCAATCAGAACCGGCAAGAA